TGGCGAATTCTACTTGTAAGCAGTGGTAGATCTTTTTTACATAGGACTCACTAATTTTAATATAATTTTTATTTAAATACTTAATGTCTTTTTTTTTTTTTTTGGAAAACGGTAAATACTTAATGTCTATACATCATTTTCATATGCATACAAAATTTATTGTTTAACTAATTCAAGAAAAATAAAATTAACGACATAGAGAAAGAGGATGACCTAAAAGAATATCTCAAAACAAATATTATAAACTATAAAATGTTTGGAAAACTAATTGAAAATAAGGTTAAGTTGAAAAATATTCAGTTTTTGAAACTTAATTAGAAAACTAGTACCTAATTATTTACAATTGGCAAAATACCCAGTATTCATTATTTGCTATTGTTTGGATAACTTCCAAACCTTCAACAAAACATGTTATTTACAAATATGCCAATGAAATTAAATTTAATATTTTAGATAGAAATAATTACAAATGTGTTTCGTACAACACATTTAGTGTACATATATACTTAAATATATATACTTTACATTCATATTTAATATACACAATATTAGTTGTACGAATAAAAATGTGTATATGTACACTTAATAAGTTGTACAAATAAAAAATATGTATATTTTATACATATGTACACTTCATAAACTATACGAATCAAAATGTGTATATTTCATTCAATACATCTTTACACATAAGGAGCTGTTCTAATAAAAAATTGTATAAAATATATTAGAAATGAATGTCAAATTATAGAGAAAAAATAGACATTTGTGCAATTAAAATCTTTTGAAAAAAAATTCAATCTAACAATTATCTTAATAATTAAATTTGAGGGGATATAGTAAAGAAGAAAAAAAGGATTTATGTTTTGGTTTCTTTTACGTTCTTACCTCCACACACCAACCTTTTTTAGTCATTTCTCATTTCAACTAATATCTCTATTTCACAACTTATGTATCTCATAATGGGTCCTACTAACTATATTCAAAATTATAAAAAAAAAAATATAATTTACGTTGCAAACACTATAACCATCGTACTCTCATGTTCTGGTTGTCAGAATCCAACATTGACCGATGTTGACCAAAAACTATATTCAAAACAAATTCTCTTTTTTTATTTGTTTTAAGTAAAAAAAAAAAAATTATTACATAATTTTACTAAAAAAAATTAATATAATAAAATATACCAAAAATAAATATACTACAAAATTAAAATTTTTTGGTTAAGATTAATTCAATGTAATTCAAGAGACGTCGTTAGCAATTTAGCAGTTCCCGTGTACACGGGCTTTGGTTCTTTCCTGCCACAGGAAGTAGAAAAGAGTGTGCTTCGGGTCAATGATAAAAGGGTCTAACCTTGAACTAACTTTATAAAATTTTGGTATATTCCAACTTCTAAAATACAGTATAAGATTAGTCCAAATAATATCCAACTTTTTGAAATATTTAAAAATGTAATATTTACCAATTATTATTTAATCCCACATACATGATACATCAAGAGATAACACTCTTTTAATTTTTTGAAATCATATGCTTTAAATCATATGAAATACTAATCATAATTATATTATATAGGAATGGAAAATAAAATCTACTAACTTTTAATGAACAATTATGAATTTTGTGCTGTAAAATTGTTGATATACATATTTTTTGTTTATGGGGAGTGTTAAAAAGATTTAAGATTCAAAAAGTTTATGGTAATTCCATAAAATCGGAAGAGCTACACTAATTTAGGCAAACTCAAAAACAAATCGTTGAACAAGTTTGTTTGATTTTACCGCGGAACAAGGAAGAGTCTTCATTTTCCCAGATTCCCCTCTCTTCTCTCTTTTGACCAAACCTCCATTTCCCAGGTAAAAAAAAAAAAACTTCTCTCAAGTTTTTACTTTTATGATCCAACATATCACGTTTTTGCTACCATACTCATGCAAATCTCAGAGCCAAGATTCTGAGTTTTGCCCACATTTGCTCCTTTTTTGTTGTGATAGTTTTTGAGATGAGTTTCAATGTTTTTCAGGATTCATCATCATCAGTCTGAAAGATGGATTCAAATGTTATATTTGATCAAAATGTCATAAACGGGTTCGCGCCGGTGCTAACTTACGCAGCCTGCGAATGGTTCCTCATATTTCTCATGTTCATCGATGCTCTTCTCTCGTATCTTCTCGTCTGGTTTGCACGTTACTGCAGATTGCAGATGCCATGTTTCCTCTGTTCCAAGCTTCTTCATCCTCTACATTGGAGATTCTTGCTCTGCAGAAACCACAGATCAGAGGTTTCATCTTTCATGTCATGTCAGAATCACGGCAACAACCTTGCTGATTGTCGAGGCATGTGTGATGATTGTCTCTTGTCGTTTACCAAAATGACCGGTCCGAATCCAGACATGAATAGATTGCTTCTTGGTAAATTAGGGTATGATCTGCTCTCTAGAAGCCATTTTGCTCACCCTAGATCTTGTTCTTGTTGCAATAAACCGTGGAGGACGAGGCACCATACACAGAGACTGATTCGGTTAGGCTCTCGGGGAAGAAACTCCGCCGGTAAACCCAACATTCCTGCTCCACGGCATCTTAGCCGTCGAGGAAGCGGTGGAAGTTTGAAGACGATGAGAGATCATATGGTAACAAGTGGTTCTGAGTATGTTGAAGTTGGAAGCCGCAGTGATGGTATGGCTCATGTGGGTTACACAGAGCTGAAGATTCACTCGGATTCTGAGTCTGAGTTCCTGTTTTCAGATGATGATGCATTCCTCCACATAACTGACTTCAATGTTGAGCCAAATGAGAAACGTGCGCACAAGTCTCGAAGGCGGAAATCATTTGAAATCAAGAAGATGCCGAATCATAAACTGCCTGACTTGCAAGACAACCAGGATAAGAACATTCATGTAGAAGATAAAGAAACCGTCGAATCTTCAATGCATGAGCATAATCTTGAAAACAGGACTCGGCAGAAACAACCTGTTAAGGCGAAGGAGCATCATGATGTACTCTCTGAGCTTATAACTATGAGTGAAGCTCGTCCGTTTTTACTGGGGTCGCCTCGAAAGTATGAAGCAAGAGCAGTGGCACAAAATGGTTTGTTTATTATGCTTTCTAATAAATTCCGCAAGAACGCTTATGTCAGAACATATGCATTCACGTCATATTGTTCCTTAATTTGATGTTCTTTCTTGCAGAAAATGAAGCTGAGGTAAGTGGCAACTCATCTCCTTCTGGCGGAGAATTTTTGAGTCCTTCTGGAGAAAACGGTGTCTCTCGGGAAATCCGAAATCAAGAGCATGATGATTCCTCAGATTTTTCTCAAAACATCCCCAGTTCAGCTATGGAGATGGAAGAATTTGAGCCAGCTATGGAGCAAAAAGAGTCTGATCACATGGATGTGTCTGGTTCTGTTGCAAATGAACCGTCTAGTGATGAAGAGAATGGAGTTGAAGGAGACTCCAAGCCTTTGATATCGAATAATATGTCAGATTCTCTGGAACAGGAACAGTCAGGTGAGGAAGAAAGTGAGGTTAATGAAAACAATGTTGCAGAAGAATACTTCAGTAATGAAGAAGAAGAAGAGGTCAATGGACATACCGAGCCCTTGACATCAAATAATGAGTCTGGTTCATTTGCTGAAGAACGATCCAGTGAGGAAGAAGATGGAAGTAATATCTATTCGGCTGCAAAAGACCATTCCAGTAACGGAGAGGATGTTGATAATGAAGAATCTGAGTCAATGACATCAAACAATGTGACTGGTGTTGTCACAGAAGAACACTCGGATAAGGAAGAGCATGGAAATCATGAAGAGACTGAGCCTTTGACGTCACTAAACATTTCCAATGAAGAATCTTTATTAGAACACAGTGATAAAGATTCCTCGAAGGTAACAGAGACTCGTGATACTTCAAATGGGTCACCGGAACTAAAGCACTCAGCTTCTGTAGAATCTTTTGTAAGCATCAGCAGTGACATCGAGGGCGAAAGTCTTGTTGAAGTATTAAAGCAACAACTCGAGCATGGAAGGAAATCGCTAAGAGATTTGAATAAAGAATTAGAGGAAGAAAGAAATGCCTCAGCCATTGCTACCAATCAAGCAATGGCGATGATCACGCGGTTGCAGGAGGAGAAAGCAGCTCTCCATATGGAAGCTTTACAATACCTGAGAATGATGGATGAGCAAGCAGAGCACGACATGGATGCACTTGAGAGAGCAAACGATGTCTTGGCTGATAGGGAAAAGGAGATACAAGATCTTGAGATGGAGTTAGAATATTATAGAGTAAAATATCCAGATGAGCCAAGAGAAGAAATTCTCGCTAGCATGGGAGTTCTCGGTAATATAGAAGAAACAAGTGTCACCTCACCAACTGATGAGACCAGCAATAAGGCTTCAACAGACACCAAACTTACCGGTTCTCCATCAGCGGAAAATTAAGAAAGAATACACATTTCGGAAACTACATCAAATTTCGGGAGGAAGAATACCCAAGAGTGCTCCCCAAGGCCTTAGAGAACTTTAGTCGTGATGGTCACATGAGACCCTACAGAATAATCTGCAGAGGCATAAAGATACTGTACCAGCATTCCTTGCAGAGCATATGGTGAAGAAGAAAGCAATTCCCAACATGGAAAGTGATTCTTTCGAGCATAGTACTCACAGGAAGGGCAAGAACGAGTGGATTCCTTTAGAGAATGAGATTTCAGTGGTAGAGAAACATTTAGAGACACAAAAGGAGAGCTTATGTTTGTAATAATAGGAAAAATGAAAAGGAGTAGAGTTAGTTGAGGAGATAGCTTGGGAGCTGCAGAAGTCATACAATCTTGGGATAGTGAGAAGATGATTAATCCACTTGTAACCACCATGGAGTGCAGTGCAGGTGCGGTTTTGGAAAAGTCTATCTTTTATCATCAAGAAAACTAAACATCATCCATGTTAGGAAGCTAAACCGAAGCATTCATTTATTTGTCCTTTTTCTTAGTTGTTTCATTTGTGTGGCTACCTTATTTTTTTGGAGAACACACCAATCATCTCATTAAAACTACAAGATTCGAGGAACGACACATAACTGAAGTTTCAAACTTTTATTAACTGAAGTTTCAAACTTTCCTACACTACAAGAAATCTAATTGTTACCAGACAAGGTAAGACAAATCACATTCATAAGTACCTTAGGATCAACGCTTTCTTCAACTCGCTTCTTGAAGCTTTATAATAGCATCAAAGCTGAAACTTTCACCTGGTTCAAATGTTTCTTCAAGATCTTCATAGCTTTGCTCAACAGTCAACTCTTTGCCAACCTTAACGTCTTCCTACAAAAGCATTGACAACCAAAATTAAACCATTTTGAACTCCAGCCACAAAAGATGATTTACTCAATGATTCCAACCGGTTTTACACAATCAAACTAAGGCTGTTGACGATAATTCCAATTCTAGTAGCTAAATCTGACTTAAATAGAATCTACGGAGAAGGTTGAGGTTATGAAATACCTGTTTAACATAGTCTTCGATAGCAGAATTAATTAATTTCTTTATCACCTGCCTATAGACTTTAGAATATCCAAGGATCTCTAACAAAACATCTCTGGGTATCTGCAAATATAAGGAAAAGGGGCACTTAACCACACGCCAAAGAACAAATCAATGAGTGTATTTAAGTGAGTTTGCCAGCATATAATATCACTGCAAGAACTCTGAATCTATGAGTATCACTAAAGTGCAACGCATGATCTTTTCCATTGCCAAACCACTTGATAGTTAAGTTAGTTTACCATAATGCTAAAATAATATGGGTTCTCTAAAATACACTGAAGTAAAAACTTACATTTGGGGTCTTCCCTGGAGATCGAAGGTTGATAAGCAAATGCAGAAGAGGGAAAAAAAAACCAGCAATGGGAAAAACATTAGAGAAGCAATCAAATGAGTTAGCTACTAGTCATCAGCAACAAATCATACTAACTAGAAAAACAAGAGAGATTTCCAGAACCGTATGCAATCTATGAGCATCGTTAGCAAGAGTGACTTATATGTCCAACCTATTTAGTCAAATCTTTCTAAACCCAACAACGAAATTACAAAGTGCAGAGATTTGAAGGAAACATGCCATCTAACATTAAAAAGAATCAAACAATTTGCTTCCTCAGAGTGAGCTAGAAAACACCAATACATGTCCCTAAGCGTATAATCTATCCACAACAAATGAAGTTTGGATTGATTGTCCAACTTAAGAAATCAAGTTTATCAAAGTGAGTTTTTAAGATCCCCATTCACTAATATCTTCACATAGCTTATACAGTATTCGTGATGTCATACCTCCTTTAACTCTTCGGAACCCCGGTATTGGCTGAGCTGCAGCAACCATTTTCTCAAATACATGATTGAATACTGTTTTAGTCTTCTCTCCTGATACTTGTACATGCACCTATTCAAGCCAATAGGGAACATAAGGTGGAAAAGCAACAAAGTCTCAAGACACAGATTAGCTCATGTCACAATTCATCCTTATCCCCGGTGTCATACGTCTTTCGCGCAGAAACAACAACATACCTTCACTTCATTGATGTTTTTAGTCTCTACTTTCGTAACCAAAAAAGATTCATCCTTAGAAGAAGTCTCTACATCTGCAAAGGGAAGCACATGTTCACAAAAAAGAAGAAGCTAAAACAACAAAAAAGTATATAGTTTTAAAGTTTGAACCTGATGGTGCTGCAGAAACGGCGATAAATTGTTTATTCGTTGCTCTGTAAAAAGTAAAGAAGAAAACATCAATGATCCAAGGAAGAAACTAGACACTCCAGTATACACAATCAATGGTTTCTCAGTGTAGTCCTTTTACTTAAATATTGTTTAATCTCAATCTTGCTCATGAACAAGCTCATACTTGAAGCAAAAAAATATAGTTCTCGGAAATTGATACCTTGTATAGAGTTTCTGTTGCACTGAAAAAGTTGGAGCAAGAGTTACAAAAGAAGAAAATTGGAAACTCGGTTTGGGATCAATAATCTGCAAATTAAAACGGAAAATTTGAATAAAGCAAAGCAAAGAGAGACTAAAAAGAAGAAGAAGAAGAGCTTACTGTAGAATAAAAGCTACAAAACGAGAGATTGTGAATGATTGTCTGCATTATCGATAACTGTTGGTTCTGTGGCGCCTTATTGCTCTAATAAGATTAAAGACTCATTACGAAAGTTCGCCGGAATTTCGTACGACAATGCATCGAGTTTAAAATCGATAGGAGATTGAGAGAGAGAGAGAGAGAGAGAGAGAGATCACCTTGTCTGAAAGAGTCGGAGATAAAGGAAGAAGCAGAACTCAGGGAAACATGATTCTATCTTTTTCTTCTTTTTTCCCCTATGAATGAAGAATATTTAGTTACGACTCACTGACAAAAAAAAAAAATCAACAATAATAACTAATTATAGTAAAAAAAAAAAAAAATAAAACAATTCATAAGAGAGAATTCACAAATTGTTTACAAATATTTGCTTGACTCTAATTTCAAGTTTAACTTTTTTTTTTTTTTTTTTTTTTCACAAACACCATTTTCATTAAGATATCGGGAAAAGACTTTCCGCTGGGGAAAGCCATTCAGGAACCGACGAACTTACATGGGAAAATAGACTACAACGAGCCCGAGCTTTTTTGGCTAGCCAATCTGCTCGAGCATTAAGATTACGGGGAATAAATCTGATACTAAAGGAAGGGAAAAAACAAGCGAGGGACCGAAAAGAGGCCAGTTCTGCAGCAAAGGATGGCCAATCTTCTTGGTTGTCGAGGAGAGAAACCAATTCCGAGCAATCAGAAGCAAAGGCGCCAGCAGTAATGCCTAACGAGGTCAAGCATTCCATTGCCCAAAGCAAGGAGTCCAATTCTGCATGGAGCGGCGAGAGACTTCTTCGCGAACTCTTGAGACCAATGTGTGAGATGATGTCCGAGTCAATCAAGACCCAACCATGTCCACTTAGGCTATCCTCCAAATGCCAGGAAGCGTCTAGCTGGCATTCCGATAATCGGGGGGATAAAGCAAGGTTTAGCGCCGGCCGAACGGGAATATCGGGATCGACTTCATCTTTCGAAAGTGCTTTCTTCCAAACCGAGGCTTCTCTCAGTGCTAAGTCCAGAGTCTCCAAAGGGGGTTCTTTGACATTCTCAAAGATGAAACGATTACGGCTTTTCCATATATACCAAAGTATCCATGGAAAGAGTTCTAACACATCCTCTTCTATTCCAAAATCGCGACTTCTCCAGAAGAGAAAGTCAAAATTATAGAAAAGGGAATTTCTCGGGAAGATGTGCCCGAATGAGGGAATTGGTGATAAGGCCCATATTTGTCTCGAAGGCGGACATTCAAAAAGTAGGTGGTTAATAGATTCCTCTTCCCCTCCGCAGCGTTGGCATCTTTTATCTGTACCAATATGTCGGTAGACGAGTTTCTGACTAGTGGCTAGGCAACCCGAGATACATTGCCACACGAAATGCATAAGCTTTCGTGTAGTTTTAAGTTTCCATACTTGTGCCTGGAGTGTCGAAACACCCGGACCCTGAAAAGGGAGGTCACAAGTAGGACGAGACAAGTCTCGCGCGGCCCAATAACCGGATTTAACCGTGTAGTTTCCGGATTTGGTGTGAGACCAACTAAAACCATCACTCAAATATGTACGACTTGGGCGGATCCCTAAGATAAGAGGGATATCGTTAGGATCAATCAAGCCTTGAATGCGATCCAGATTCCAAGTTTTTGTGGTTTGGTCAATAAGGTCATTAACATAGAGATGTGGATCTCTAGAGGCAAGAATACTCTTTGCGGGTCGCGGAGGGATTGTGGGAATCCACGGGTCTTCCCAAACCCGGGTTAACATTCCAGAGCCAATAGTTCTTCGCAGTCCCGAGAGAAGAAGTGGTTTCGCCGCCATAATACTCCTCCATCCATAGGAGGGACGGTTGGAGTTACCAATATGTAAAGGATCACTAAAACGGAAGTATCTACCCCTCAGGACCCTACTCAGAAGGGAATTCGGGAATCTGAGGAGGCGCCAGAGTTGTTTTGCGAGTAAAGCCAGGTTGAACTCCTCCAATGTTCTAAACCCCAGGCCGCCGTCGGAGTGTGGCGTGCAAAGCTTATCCCAAGCGATCCAGTGGATACCATTACTATTTTCATTAGTTTTCCACCAAAAGTTTGCAATGGCACTACTCAACTTGGAACGAATAGCTTTTGGTAGAAGAAAACACGACATAACATATGTCGGAAGGGCCTGTGCTACTGATTTTATAAGAACCTCTTTGCCTCCTTTGGACAAGAATTTAGCGGACCATGTATTAAGCCTTTTTTGGAGCCTGTCCCTCACAAAGGCAAAAACTTGAGTTTTGGAACCATGAATCTGTTCCGGCAGCCCCAAGTAAGACCCCATTCCCCCGTCCTTGTGTATACCAAGGGACTCCTTGATAGAGTTTCGAGTGATGTTGTCAACATCATGTCCAAACATCACCGAAGACTTTGCTGTATTCAGCTGTTGACCCGACGCCTCGCCATAAATGCGGAGAATTTTGATGATTTCCGCACCTTGGAGTGGATCTGCTCTACAGAAGAATAAGCTATCATCCGCAAAAAGGAGATGAGAGGTAGAATCGAA